CCCTCTGCTGTTCATTTTACCTTTGTCTCCATCCCAGCAACCTTCGCTCGTCCACGCGCACCGGTTCCACACAACGGCTTCTTATAGTCTCGGTAGCCTAAGGATTGTCACGTATAAACGTGCGCAGTTTTTAAATAAATGTACTTTTCTGTTTTCGTCGTGCGCCTCGGCATAGTCCATTAGTCAATTGACTAAAAACAGCTGCCTTTCAATTTCTAAACGTTCAGCAAATGAGACAGTTCATCACACTTATCCAGTTCCTCATTCATGGGGTGAACTTACTGTGACATGCTTGGTGACCACATCCCAGACCAGCAGTATATCATGTCTAAGCTACACGAATAAGCTAGCATAATCACCTCATGCAGATTGAATTTCTGCAAAGGTGGCACAGATATATGGTTTTCTATCAAATAATTCCTTACCCTCAAAAATAAAGTTAAAAGTGTACCGTCCCATCCTAGAATACGGCTGTCCGCTCTTTGGTCTGATGAATGCCTTTGGCCACAGTAGGGTTGAACGTGTTCAGAGTTATTTACTCTTTCCGAATCCAGTGTTTCCTATACGGAGATATGTCAGCTAGAGAACATTACCGTTCCATGGTTTAGGAGACTTGCAGCCTGCGTCTGCTTTCTGTTTCGCGTTTACTCGAGTCCGAATGTTTCACGAATTAACGCTCGCACTACGGTAGATAGGCTGTATGCCAATCGTAATTCCTCCATGATAATTTCAACAGCCCTAAGCTCCGCGTCTAACCGTTCGCGTTTTTCACCTCCCAGTATGCCTTCTTCTGAAATAATATTTCACTCGAAATTAGGTTGTTACCTACATTATCGATTTTCAAATTCAAATCATACAAACACTTATCTTCGGAAGACACAAAATCTTTATTGTTCGTTTCCTTCACAAAAACGCAAATTTTGGACTTTGAGAAGGGTCCCTTGGCAGTTGCGGCGGTTCCTTACAAACAAAATCGGTTGCTATATACGTTTACATTATCCTCTGCAGTGTCAGCCTTTCCGGTCGTTTTTCATTCATCCGTCTTTTCAAACGTCATTGCCAAGTTTTGACAACCTTTCTCCATTTAGCAACCCTGACGATGATCTTCGTGGTCTCTGTTGATGATCAAGGCGCGTTCTTCTGCTTTTGTCAGCTTATGGGTGAACTCCGCAGTCCCCAAGGTCGCATCTCCGGCATTTTGTTGATGAGCTCGGGCCTCTACTGTTTCAATTGCATTTTAGTCCTATTGTCCAAGTCGCGCTCTTCTTGTCATACCTCTCTAGTATCCAGTCGAGCGGTATCGTGGTTTACACTAGCCCATGTAAAAGCCAGAACCCAACCGTTTTTTAGATCGATACTTTACAATCTGACTTAATTTTCTAGTTAAGAGGACTCTGATTAGGCGGACACCGCTCCGCGTGTACCGTATAGCCCCGACTTCGATAAATCGCTTGCATATCCCCTATGTAATTACTCCGCTATCCTTATTCACCGTATGATACATTGCGTATCCCTTTCGGATCCACTTCAGTACCTATATTAATCGACTAAGTGTCATTTCGCTAAAATCTATTAATCTATATAACTTATCCCTGTTGGACCATGAACTATTTCTCTGGATTTTTTGTGTCAATCAGTCAGTGTCAACACATAAAGAGGTGGACCTCCTTCTAGGCAAAGTTTTTGGAGAACCGCTACCCACCGAACCGAAACTAATATGACCAATTTCTAGTAACCACAGCCCTTTTTCGTTCCCCAACTTTGGTGCTACAGTAAGCTGCAAGCATAAATAAGGTCACACAACCGACGCAACAATCGACTGCTGATTTATTTCTTTATTTTCTTGAGGAAACCCTCAAGGAACGTCTATTAATTTAACATTGCTTTCGGAAAGTTTTTTGACACTTGTTTTATGAGATAAATAGTGTGTGGATGTCAAATATTCTGTATATAAAATTATTAATTGCTGCTGTATATCAGACCGCTAACACAGAATACCAACGTGTCCGTATTTTATATCAGCAGTAATTTTTTTTCGAAAGCATAGAAATCATGACATAGAGAAGCCACGCTGTTCTCCCCAATCCACATCTCTAATAAATAATATGGTTTTCCTGACGCAAAATTGCGGTATACCCCCGATTCATTCACCAATAACCCTCGACAGGATTGCACTCCCGCCCCTGGCATTTTAAATTTCGCCCCAGATCACACATGAACTATCCGTGCACACTTTCTTTCTGGCTAATTTGTTTCCTACCAAGTTCAGGTCGGCGTCAAACGTTAAAACTAAGCATATTCGGTATTCGCTGCTAAATGACGACGGTGCTTCGCAAACAGATCTTAGCTATCTCGACTGCCCTCAAAGACAGCTGCAGCGTTTTTTAAGTGTACAATACTCTTAGGCATAGAGTGGACCCAACTTCACCCGTCGACTGATGCGTTTCTGCATCCGAAATGGATGAGCTTACTTTTCAAGTCGACCGCGGCTGAATATACCTCTATTGAAGGATCAATCAAGATCCATAAATGACCGACTTTTTCTAGGACTGAGGTATTCTTACATCGAAACCTTTAACCCCTATACTGCACCGATATTATTTTCCATTTTTAATATTATTGGACCTGTGTGGACAGGTTCTTTTGACTAAGAACAAACTCCCCTGTAACGCCCCAGCGCCCTGGTGTCCTTGGGTAGCGTATCTTCTTTCTGATTAAGGCCGGTACTTAGTCGTTCGTCTACGTCCGTTGTCTTCTGGCTGCGTCCACGCACTGTAATTCCACTAGAATGCTGGATCACAGGAACAGTCACTCA